CCTCAATTAGCGACCAAATTGCTTTTCTTGTCCGAGACCTTCGTGGAAAAACATTTTTAAACCCATCCTTTGTGTACCGTATGTCGACACCGTCTTCACACACACACACACACACACACACACCCACGGCCAATCGCTTAATTTATCATGCTCCTCTGTAAGGAGAGGTCCGTTTACCGGGAGGATCGAATTACAAGAAAATGAAACGCACTATGTACAGCCATTCTTTTGCATTTTGAAGGATCATTATCATTATCATTATCATTGAATGCCATGCCGTACCATCAGCTGACGGATTATTCGAAATCCATTTTTCGCTTCAATTCATCATCCGATGGTAAACGCATTTCAATTGGTTAAGGTGTATAAATAAGTTCTTTCTGCATATTGCATAGATAAATCAAGCGAACTAAGCGTTTTGGTTTATGACAGGTTTAAACCAGAGGCAAATTTTATTGTCCTTTGAATTAAGCGGATCTCAGCGCAACAGTGGTCATTTTTCGGCTTCAGATTATAAAAAATTGCACAGTATTCGCTTGTCGAGAACTGTTATGCTAAACATCTAATGTGCATCATACAGAAACATATTGCGAATGTCGAATTATTGCTCGTTTTGGCTTGAATGCCTGAAGGTAAGTTTTCTTAAATTGTTAGAAAATTAAGTTGTGTAGTCAATTTAACGGTCAGAGGTTTTACCTAGAGGTTTGTTCTAAATTCCTCATATTCTAACATTGTCTATGACAGTTTCATATTTAGGTAAAGATCTGGTTCCAAAACCGCCGTTCTAAGTACAAAAAAATGATAAAAACCCAGCAGCACCCAATTGGCAAGCAGCAACAGTCTTCCGACAAGTCGATACAGCCAATGTCAGAAAACTTGGATTCGCAGAACAACCCTTTGCTCATTCAACAAACCGAATCTCCAGCGCCAAATAACCCAATGGACGGCAGCGGCGTGCCTGGTTCTGTTAACTATAACGGTGGTACGACTATGTCGCCATCTTCAGCGCGACATTCAAATTCAGTCGAGCAGAATCCGCTGGACGGTGGGTGTTCGATGGCAGGACCAACTACACTCCCTCAGAGCGGTGGCGGTGGCGGTGGCCCAGTGATGGCATCATTGTCTCGACTGACTACTGATGTACAGAGTA